TTCTTCCCCCTTTTTCTTCCCCTTTTTCCCCTTCCCCCCCACTTTTTTTCCCCTTTCTTTCTCCTTTTTTCTTTTCCCCCTTTTTCCCCTTTTTTCCCTTTGTTTCCCCCTTTCCCCCCCATTTTCTTTCCCCCTTTTTTTCCCTTTTGCCCCCTTTCTTCCCCTTTTTTCTTCCCCTTTTTTCCCCTTTTTTTTTCTTTTTTCCCACCCACTCCATGAAACATCCAAGCCCCGGCTCTTCCCAGAGCCACTTCCTCCCCTTTCTTTTATATTTTTTCATTTAAAATTATTTATTTAATTTTTTTTTCTCTCTCTCTGGGAATGCTCGTGGGATGGGGCTTTCCATAAACTCCGGAAAGTTTTCCACTGACAAAACCATCTGGGAATTTTCTCCAGCGGCAAAAAGTGGAAAAAAAACCCAAAAAAACCGACAACAAAAAAAATTTAAAAAATCATCGGAAACGGGGGCTTGGAAAGGAAACCAGGATTGGAAAAGGGAAGCTCAGGGAATTTTTTTTTATCCCAAAAAACCCTTTTCCTGCTGTTTTCAGTGCAGGAGAGGAGCTGAGAGAGCTGGGATTTAAAAAACGGGGAAAAAAMCCMAAATTTTGGGATTTTGGGGGGGTTTTGGGTCGGATTTCCCGCTGGGATTTGGGCTGGGGGGGATTTTTAAGCGTCCGGAGGTGGAAAAAAATTCCGGAGGGGAACGTTGGGAATTTCCAGGTACAAAAAAGGGGGGGGAAATTTGGGGGTTTGGGGGGGATTTGAGGGGTTTTTCCTGGTTTTTGGGGTTGGTCTGGGTCAGGGGGGAAGAATCCATGAATTTGGCTGGGATTTGAGAGATTTTTTCCATTTTTTGGGATTGGTCTGAACTCAGGGGGAAAAGTTGGGAAAATCTGGGAATTTGGATGGAATTTGAGAGGTTTTTCCTGATTTTTGGGATGGATCTGGAGGTTTCCGGGAATTCCATGGGATTGGGGGGTTAAACTGCGCCATTCCCAGAGGATTTGCCTTTTTTTTTGCTTTATTTGGGCTTTTTTTTTTTGAGCTCCTTTTAGGGCTTTTTGGGCATTTTTTGAGCCTCTTTTGAGCTTTTTTAATTTCTTTTTTTTTTTTTTTTTTTTTTTTTTTTTTTTTTTTTTTTTTTTTTTTTTTTTTTTTTTTTTTAAATCCTGGACTTTTTCCCACGTGGGGGGATAAAAAAGTCCTGAATTCCGTGGGATTGGAAAAAGGAGAGCGCTGCCCTAAATTCCACCTCCCATTCCCGAGGGATCCCACCTGAAATTCAGGAAGGGGAGTTTGGGATCCGTGGCCTGGTTATTCCCAATATCCAGGGAATTTCTGATTTTTTGTGGTGTTTCCCTTTTAAAAAATCGTTTTACTGGTGTTTCCCAAAATATCCTCTTTTTATTGGTGTTTCCCTAAAAATTCTTTAAAAAAAACAGGAATGAGTTCGAGGGCTGCCGCCATGGGATTTTGGGGGAGAACTTTGGGAATTTGGGATTTTTGGGGGAGAACTTTGGGAATTTGGGGAGGAATTTTGTGAATTTGGGGGGGAATTTTGGGGCCAATTTTCGGGGGGAATTTTGGGATTTTGCGGGGGGAAATTTTGGGAATTTGCAGGTTTTCGTTCCCGTCCCCATCAAAAATTCACGGGGGAAATTCCACCCGAAATCCCAAAATCCCGAAGTCCTGAAATCCTGAAATCCGTGTTGGGGAATGAACGGCTGGGGGTGGGAAGGGGAATTCCAGGAGCGCCCCCAGGGCTGGGAATGTCCCCAATCCCAGGATTGTCCCCAGGATCCGGATTGTCCCTTACCCCTGGATTGTCCTCCCTTCCAGGATTGTTCCCAATTCCGGGAATGTCCCCAGGATTGGGATTGTCCTTTATCCTGAGATTGTCCTCAATCCCTGGATATTCCAGGATTGGAATGGCCTCAATCCCTGCATTGTCCCCAATCCCAGGATTGTCCCTGTCCCTGGGATTTTCCCGGGATTGTCCCCTCTCCACATGGGAACGGCTCCGGCTCCTCCTTATTTAGAGCAGCCCCATCACTAATTATTAACCAATTAATAGCAAATTAATAATGAATTCATAGTAAATAATAACCAATTAATAGCTATTTTTAAATTATTTAATAGCCTTTAATAACCAATTGACACCTAATTAATAACTGATTAATAGCCAATTAACTCCCAATAAATAACAGGTTAATAACTAATTAATGAGTAATTGATAACGGAGTGGCATCCAGTTAACATCCATTTAATAACAAATAGCCAATTAATACTCAGTGACTAATTAATAATCAACTAATACCCAATTAATACCCAATCAATAAACAATTGATAACCAGTTAATAACCAATTAATGCCCAATCAATAATCAGTTAATAATCAATGCCTGATTAATGCCTAGTTAATAATAAATCAATAACCAATTAGTACCCAATTAATAACCAATAAATAACCAAACAATGCTCAATTAATAAGCAGTTAATAACAAATTAATAACTAATTAACAACCAATTAAAACTCCCTCGTTAGCGCCACTCCAGGACAGGAGCCGGATCTTTTCCCTGCAGGAATTTCCTTGGGAATCCCCAAAATCCACCAAAACCTCCCCAAAACCCCCAGAATTTTCCCCAGAATTTCCATGAATTTTCCCCAGAATTTCCATTAATTTTTCCCAGAATTTCCAGTGATTTCCCTCAGAATTTCTGTTGATTCCCCAGAATTTCTGTCAGAATTCTACTCCGGGATCAGAATTAATTTTTCCCTGGAAAATCCGGATTTTTTTTTCCCGGAAAATTGAAATAAATTAAAATTTATGATGGAATTTTTCTCCTTTTTCCAGGGAAATTGGCCGCCATGGATATCGAGGACTGCAACGCCCGATCCTACATCACCGGTAAGGCCCCGCCTGGGATTCCTTGGGGGGAAATTCGTTGAGATTTCTAATTTTGGGGAATATTTTTTGGGGAATATTTTTTGGGGAATTTTTTGTGACTTTTTTTGCGATTCTTTGGGCATTTTTGAGGATTTTTTGGGGGATTTTTCTTGGATCTTTCCTGGATTTTTGAGGAATTTTTTTTGGGGGGGTGGATTTTTTTTTTATTTTTTCCCAGATTTTCGGGGGGATTTTTTTGGGGGGATATTTTTGGGACTTAAAAAAATTATTTTGGGAGGATTTTTTGCAGGATTTTTTTTTTATTTTGGGCTAAAAAATCCAAAAATCCTAAATTTTCCTGGGGACTGGGAATTGGGGGGAGGCTGGAATTGGAATTTTGGGGGCCATGATTTTGGGGCTGGAATTTCGGAGCCAGGACTTTGAGGGCTGGAATTGGAATTTTGGGGTCTGGAATTTCCAGGGAGCGGCTCCTCCCGGAGGGGGAGGGAAGGGCAGGAATTCCTGCTCGGGGCGGGAGGGAGGGAAGGGATTCCAGGAAAATTCCATGCGGGGACAGCTCTGGAATGTTCCTGGAGCGTTCCCAGGGAAACCGGGCGGGTCTGGGGCCAGAGGAATTTCCCCGGAGGGATTGGGATGGAGGGGGAGGCGGAAAAGGGGAATTTATGGGATTGGGATGGAGGGGGAGCTGGGAAAGGGGAATTTTCCATCCCAAATCCATCCCGAGCCTCTGGATCCATCCCAAATCCATCCCACACTCCCACACTCCCACATTCCCACGTTCCCACATTCCTCCTCCTCCCTCTCCCCCCATTCCCAGCTCCCATTCCCGGCTCAATTCCCAGTTCCTGCTTTTGGGAATGCCCCGTTTCTCATCCCCATCCCATTAAAATTCCCGATCCCACTAAAATCCCAAAAGGGCTCTCTCCTCGGAGCCCTCCCCACGTTCCCGCAGTCCCACATTCCCACATTCCCGCAGTCCCACATTCCCGCATTCCCACATTCCTCCTCCCCTCCCTCTTTCCCATTCCCGGCTCCCATTCCGTTCATCATTCCCAGTCCAATTCCCAGTTCCTGCTTTTGCGAATGCCCCATCCCATTAAAATTCCCGATCTCACCAAAATCCCAAAAGGTTTCTCCGCTCCGAGCCTTTCCCACGTTCCCACATTTCCCCCCTCCCTCTCTCTCTCCTCCGTTCCCAGCTCCCATTCCCAGTTCCTGCTTTTGGGAATGCCCCGTTTCTCATCCCATTAAAATTCCTGATCCCACCAAAATCCCAAAAGATCTCGCTGCTCCGAGCCCTTCCCACATTCCCACATTCCCACGTTCCCTCATTCCCACATTCCCACATCCCTCCCCTCCCTGTCCCCGGTTCCCGGCGCGGTTTCCCGGCCGGATCCGCCTCCTCGTGCCGCTCTTTTCCCTGAGCCGCGGCTTTTCCCGGGATTTCCAGGAATTTG